ACATTTTTGAATATTTTTGTATTTAGTAATTTTTTTAGACTTCTTCATAATTTTTTTTTTTCTGTGTATCTTTACATTAGTTGCATTCAAAAAGTAAAAAGAAAAATTACTATTACTAAGCTCTTGTTTTGGAATAAGTTTTGACTTTTTACAAAAAAATATATATAAAAAAATAGAAAGAATAATGCGATAACTTATAGTAAATTTTAATTTTTAACTGAAATATTCAAAATATACAAAAACAAATAAAGAAAACTATATGATAACTTATAATGATTATAATTTAAATTAAAATATTTAATCCCTAAGCCTAAAACAATACAAAAAACATAAAACATAAAACAAGGGGCTTTTTTGAAATTTTGAATTTTCTTACATACATGCATATAGGGTTGTGTAAAATACCGCTCAATCTACTAAAATCACACCGATCCGCACCGCTCTATCTACTAATCATGGTTTAAACTTTAAGATTTATAATCCGTCTTCGAAACTACTCCACTTCGCTTTCGAAACTATTCCACTCCACTATAGTTAATACATATATATTTTTAATCTATAATGCAATATCAAAATAAAAATGTGTGTAAAAGAGATTTAGGCCTCGTTTGGGAACATAAGTTTTTAATAAATTTTTGGTTTTTTGGTTAAAATATGATGTAAAAAATACTAATATGTTTGGGATGACTTTTTGATTTTTTACAAAAAGTTGTGCAAAAAGTAGAAAGAAAATGAATATCTGACTTTTTGATATAGGTTGCTGACTTTTTGATTTTTTTTAATGACTTTTTTGACTTTTTGGCTAAAATCACCACTTGCCAAACGAGAGCTTAATATGTGAAATCTATATAATAAAATAGGATGGTTTTTGAAAATATATAAAATGTATCAGAGATACATTTTGAATCAATGGTCTGTATCAATCCTAAATATATATCAATGGCTCAAATATATTTTCTTCCCGCCTAAACTTTAGCCCTCCCACCTACCATATCTCATCCCTATTCCCTTATTTTCTCTTGCTTTCTTTCTCCCTCTTTATTCTCACGTCTCCTCCTCATTCCCTCTTTATCTCTCTCTCCCTCTCTGTTATTCTTCTTTCCTACCCTCCCTCTTGGTTCACTCTTCTCAAACTCAGCTCGCACTCTCCTGACGATGCTCTCCAGTTCTCCAGTCCTCGATTTTTGCATCTCGAACTCGGCTCGCGAGGTAGCCTTTATCATATTCTGAAATTTTTGGGTCTATTTTTGCGTCTTCTTCTAAGGTATTCATTCCCTTTTCCCACCACTTTGAATTGTGTTGATTATGGACATTTGACGAGTTCTTTGCATTTTCTTTGAATTATTTGATTCAATTTTAGTTTCTTTGCATTTTCTTTGAATTCTGTTAATGGGTATCATTTTTTTTTGTTTCAGTGGCTTCAAAGTTCTGAGACAAATTAGATCTAATTTGATATAAATGGTGTTTTTTTTAATGGAGAAACTAGGCAAACCTTTTTTCCATTGGATTGATAATAGTTTACTGCTTGAGTCTTTCAGCTCACAATTAATTGGAATAATTTTTTATTTTTTTGGTCTATCTTTTTATAAAAAAGACAAACTAATTTCATGACTCAGAAATTTTACCAAGTTTTTCTGCTAAACGACCAACTAAATGAAGCTTAGAAACTGTAGGCTCGCACCCTCGTTACCATTGGTTTTGTAGTTTAGGTGTCTGACAGAATGTCTGTGAGTCATTCATATTAGTTTGAAATTTTAGGAAATTAGGAATTGGAATTGGTTCGTTCTTTACCTGCTTGCAAATCTTTTTGCTTTATTGTAGACTATAAACTATGTTCACACCGATTGTTTCAGTTCTCCTTGCAATATCTGTTCCAGAAATGAAAAATAATACATGGAAGTGTAAGGTATGTATTCCCTTTAAGCGCTAAATTGTACAGATTCAATCAATTTGTTTTTTTTATTTTTTTGCTAGGGATGCACTTACAAATACGTGGTAGCATGGGGTTTGTTATATTTGAGAGGGACACAAATGCCTTGAGAGCCAGAAAAATATTGATACATAGAATAATAAACTCCAATTCCCTCTTAAAACAAGAATGAAATTAGAATCTAGAAAAGCCAAGAGTGTTGCAATAAAAAATAAAGAATAAAAAGACATCCACAGGGATTACCCCCATTTTGGTCTAATAATAACCCATACCCATGTAACATCAATGGGGACAATTTTGGCCACAATATTCTCCAACCAAGAAAGCAATATCAAAATAATGGTTCCAGACCTTTTTGTTAAACTCAAAAATAAATAAACATATTTCACAGCTATTCCCATAATATAGTTCTGATTTCTGACAAACAAATAAGGTATGGGTACAATCTTTTGAGATCACATAGTTATGAACAAATATCAAAGTTTTGTTTCATTCAAGCTAGAATAAGCTCCTTTTTCTTAGGATAGACATGTTTATAAACTAAATTCAATATTATATCACATAATTCCTGGCCACATAGTCAATTTTCTGTCAGGAACATAACGCCAATTTAAAACAACATTATGCCAAGAGGTGTTTAAACAATCATCTAAATATCGCTGACCTCTAATTCTAGTTTTGCATGCCAGGCTATTTTGGGAGATGATGAGCAGAAACTGGTTCAATGAGAGAAGAATAGTGTTTGGCCTCGGAGAAAGAGGATGACTTACTGAGAAAGTTCATGAAATGGCAAAGAATCAAACATTAGTTAAGAATTGGAGGCAAGTAATCTTATTAGTGACATTTTTTTTTTCTTTTTCTTTTTCCTTTTTTAAATGTTGTGACTGAGGATGATGAACCAGACACTTCCTACTATTTTTGGTCTCAAAGGTACTGACTCAACACACACACACACAATTAATGAAATGTTTGATTCTTTAACGAGAAATGGGTGTTAATTTTTTATTTATAAAATGGGTTTTTCTATATTATGAGTTTTTCTAAATACTCATAAATATACACGGATCTATAAATACTCCTGAGTTTGCTAAATACGCTTTCACTATTGATATGGATTTTCCTATATTTATTGGGCTTTTTGTGTTTTTCTATTTTTTGTCCCCTTTATTTGGGAGTGGTGATTGGTAAGCTATGATAATATATATATATATACATATAGTTTCAGCATTGCCTATTACTTTTTTAAGACCCTGTAAACAATTGTGCCCTTACTGTATGTTATTGATTTGTTGTTTTATCCATTGAATTTTATTATATCTGTTTAGTCTTATAGTTTATTTAATTTCAATCTAAATTTTGTTGGTTGCTGCCCATGAGCTAACCAAATAGATCCAAAGAGGCTGGTTTGATATTTTGCTTATGGTCATGTATTGCTTAACAAATATTCAAAATTTATTTAAGATTGGAAGCAAAATGAATCTGAAGGGGTGTAGGTGAATATTGAAGAAGGTGATGAAGGGTTACATACACAAAACTGATGGGACTAAACTGATATAATAAATGGTTTTGGATTTTTGGACAAAATAAATGGGGTTTTTTAGGCTGTGTTGATTTGTAAATGATGGGGTAATTAAGTTGGTTAGGTTTGTTGTTGAATTACCAAGCGAAGAGTTTCCTTTTTGAACTTTATTTTATTAAATTCTTTCGTAAGAACACTTCTTTCTTAAATTTTCCCTCTAACCTTATGTGATCAATTAAAGGAAGTTCTAAAAAGAAAAAGTTGAAAAAAATAAAATCCAAAGAAAAGATTGATTGATTTTTGTAAATTAATGTTTTTATCAGTCATTAATTTATATTTGTGTTGACAATGTGTTGTGTTTGTTCGTAGTGTTTGCATTGGGTAACCAATTATTATTTTACAACAATGTTTGTGTTTAGTTTGAATTAGGGTCTATAAAAAAACCTTTCATTAGTGTGACAATGCATATGTTTGTTTTGAATTGGGTAGTTTCTTTTAATTATTATATTGCCTTTTTTTCTGTATTTTACAAGTGGATGAAAGCGAATGGTAATATTGACTTCCTTTTTACAGGTCTACATTTTTTTAAGCTTAAGTTTTTCTCATCTCTCTAATGATTTTGTATTTATTGTTGTGTAAACTAAACGTGCACTTCTTTGATTGATGAGTGTTGAAAGAAGGGCAATCTCGAGTGAACAACAATCTCGAGGGCATAACTTACATTATTTTTGGTTTTATCGTTGACAAACTTTGAAAATGATTGACGTTGTATAAAGTTAAAGATATTTTGAGGCAAATTGTCGTTATGTAAACTCATATAGATTTGGTTTGATTTGGTTTGGTTTGAGAGGTAGACATTTGGAGGTGTTTGTTATTTAAATTTTGATCAAGAATACCATTTTCGTATTGGCATGGTGTGCTTCAAAGGGAAAACACCATTTTATTGTTCCTCTTATTTTGAAGTTGTGTCTATAATAAAGAGGATCCCCTTGCTCAAATGTATATTATCTATTCATTTTTTGTATGTCATGAGAAAACAGAATTTTAGGTATACTTGATTCTCAGTATTCATAGCTTAAGAAAGAATGATAAATGAAAATTATTTAAACAAAATATTATTTACACGTACCTTTAGGTACAGACATACACTAATTTATTACAAATTAATAATTATATATATAAAAAATATTATCTAAAATTAATTTATATTATATATATATATATAAAATATTATATAAATTAGTGTTATATATTATATAAAAATTTAATAATTAATTAAAATATTTTTAAATCTCTCAATTCATTCAAAATCTCTCTAATCATAATTTATTAATATGTTACTCTATTAATTTACCACTCCATTAATAATTTTAAGGTAATACTAAACTTATTAAATAAATGACCAAATATCAGGTGAGATTCACAATTTTATAGGTCCTAAATTCGTGTATGGATGCGGAAGATTTCATCATTTATTTAGTAAAAATTTAATAACTTTTAACATTTTTCATAATTTTATTGTCAGATCGTCGGTACTAGCCACCGCTCATCCCTACATACATGGAAAGTGCATAGGGAGACGTAAACGTCATAATCCAGGTCGAACAGAGAGAGAGGAGAGAGAGAGAGAGGAGAGAGATAGTGGTGGTTTTAATTTCTTTTTCCTCAAAATTCAAAATCCTAGATTTCACATCTCAATTTATTACTCTCCCACTAATGATATACTAATAATCCCTATACTCAACCTCATACCCTCGTTTCCTCTCCAATTTCCCTAGAAAATTCGTTTAATTTTCTCGGTTCTAGGGTTTGGAGGTACTTCACAGTGAAAAAAATTCCCTTTTTTTTAAACTCTCGAATTTTCATTTGCCTTTTTTTCGAGTCGAGGAAAATGAGTAGTAGAAAGGAAGAAGAGCGGAACGAGAAGATAATAAGGGGTCTCATGAAGCTTCCCCCCAATCGCAGATGCATCAATTGCAACAGCTTGGTGAATATTCTCTCACTTTGTTTCATTTTCCGTATGGGTTTCTTGGGTAGTTTCTCTGTTGTTAATTAAGCGTTGGTTGTTGTTGCATTCTGTCAAATTTGTTTGGATGCTGAGAAAATGTAGTGAGGGAATCAATATTCAAAATTTTGAATCTTACATATGCACACCCAAATGATTGGAGCTTAAATAAAAATCAAAATAAGCTACTTTTAAAGATATAAAATTGTTATTGAAATCACCACCCAGAAAGGGACCTCTATTCCACTGTGCCTATTCACAACTATTTGACTCGGCTGACTTGAAATTTTGTTCATTTATTGATATTGCTATTGAAACTTAAATGTGAGATCCAATGCCTATTTCTTTCTCTATTCCCATTTTTCTTTTTTTTGGCAAATATGTGTCAACATTATTTTCTTTTGCTCTGGAGACAGTACTCTTTTTTTTCTAAATTTTTCTTGTTGTAACCAGTAACATTAGTCAATTTCATTTTTTTGGGGGTGTGGAATGGAAGGTTCAGTATTTTTTTTAGGGTTCTTCGTTGTCCCTCTTATTTAATTTTCGTTGGATGATTCATGTCACATTAATTATTATGATGTTAATTTGTCTGCAGGGACCTCAGTATGTTTGTACGAACTTTTGGACATTTGTTTGTATCACATGCAGTGGGATACAGTGAGTTTTTATTTATTTATATTTCAGTTCATTTGATTATTTTTGATTTCATTATTTATAGTTATGGGTATATTCAGGAAAAGACGCTCTTGTGTTCTATACAATGGATTGTTTGGTTTTTTCGCTATGGACAAAATAAGTTGTTATATAACTTTGTTTTTACTAAGACAAGACATCCTACTTAGCTTTTTCAGTTACTTCCCAAATTTGCTTTGATAAAATTGGACAGTAAAGTAATCAGATGGTAAATTTGATTTAGATACCTTAAAGAATTTGACATATTTGTAATATAACTTCAACAGATTCATTTTAATTGTAAATGACTAGATAGTGTTATTTATTTTAGGCTGCCTTGCCCTTTGTTTTATAGTTATGACTTTTATTTTATAACTTTCCTCCAAATCAAATGGGTATAACTTTCCTCTGAAGGTAACTTAAAAGGTTTATAATGGTAAATATTTTTGGGATCGCTAAATCACCATTTTATAGTGAAAATGTACCATGTTTTGCAATGTGCATTCTAAAAGTAAATCGCAATGTGTTAATGTTTTTTGGTAACATTGGTTTTGAGGGGTGGCAGTGGTCAATGGTGGAGAGCAGGGGAGGGTGGAGAAGGGGAAAGTAAATGGGAAGTGGAGGTTCAAGTGTTGTGAGATCACATTTTAGTGGATGATGTGCTAGGTTTTGATTGGGAGAAAACTCTTTTTTTAATGAGTAAAACGGACCAAATTGGGAAAGTCGTTGCTTAAAGGACCAAAGTAGAAAGGGCCTATACTTTAGGGAGTGAAAAACTAAATTACTATATTTTCGTGGATTGTCTTGGACTAAATCAGGAGCGTTGAGTGGGTGTTTGGGATTATATTTTTTGGTGGCTTTTTGGCTTTTTAGGAGATAAAAAATTAATGGGTGTGTTTGGTTTGGGTTTGTAGAGTAGTTTTTGAGATAAAAAGTGCGAAAACTTGTTTGGTTTACTTTTTTTTCGAAATGGTTTTGGGAAATTGTTTTGGGAAGAGAGTTTTAAAAAAGTGATTGATTTGATGTGTATGAGAGATAGAGATAGAGAGAGAGAGAGAGAGAGAGAGAGTGATTTTGGAAAGTAAGTAACCAAACAAAATTTTGAGATTTTTTTTGAAAAAATTTGTTTGGTTTGATTACTCTTAAAAATTTATTTGTAGAGAATTTTTTTTTAAATATTTTCTGAAAAACAAACCAAACATGGCCAATGTGTTTGGGAATGGCTTTTTAGTTGTATGGGAAAGCATGAATGACTGATGTCGTACTTTTTTTTTGCTTGAATTTCTTGTTTTACTCCTATGCACTAATGAGGGTAGTTTGGTCTTTTCAAACTAGTGCACTGGATTGTAACAATTGATAACTTAGGGGTTGTTTGGGATGATCTAAATAAGTGTACTTTTTGACTTTTTATGAAATGTGGGTTGGATTTGGGTTGGGTTTGAAGTGATGTGTTAGAGAGGTGATGTTTATGATGTGAGGGGTTGTTTGGGATAATCTAATAAGTACACTTTTTGACTTTTTATGAAATATGGATTGGGTTTGGGTTGGGTTTGAAGTGATGTGTTAGAGAGGTGATATGACTTAAATAAGATGATATGACTTAAATAAGATAGTGACTTTTTGACTTTTTTTCAAACATGCCAAACCAGCCCTTAAATAGGATAGTGACTTTTTGACTTTTTTTAAACTTGCCAAACCAGCCCTACTAATATCAATTGGTTTGAAGTTCAACATTCCTCCATTTAAATTTGTATCAGTTTTAGCCATTTTCAACCGTGTTTACTCTACTGGTATAGAAACTTTAGGTACTTTGAATTTTGAAATACATTGATATACGTTAGGGATGGCAACGAAGTGGGTTTGGTTGGGAGACCCCTTTTTGTGACTCCTTTTATTTAGAAGAGAGCCTGAACATGATTCTTTCCCAACCTCATGCCAATGGAGGGTGGGGAGGCATGCCAAACTTAAATGAGGGATGTTGGGCTCCTGATAGATTGCCTACAATAATATTTAAAATTGATTTATTAAATTGTGAAAACACTATTGATGAGGGCCCACTTGGCATTGTCATAGTCACGTTGGCGTTAACATTGGAAAGGTTTTTTTGTTGTGGTGAGAGAGTGAATGAAGCTTTAGTTTTATAAGGAATTTGGTTTATGAGACTCTTCTATTGTTTTGAGATGGGACACAAGTGGCGTGAGTTCCTTAAATGCAACCACAAAAGTATGTTGTTTAGGAATGTTAGTCGCATGTCTCTCCTCTTTTTTGCCTCACCTCGAATTCACAATAGCTATTACATGCTTATATTTAATAATATAGACAAAAGCCAAGCAAAAGCTTGTTTGGATGTTGGGAAACCTTGATGAAGTGGGGTCGGGATGGTTGGTTTAGTCCGATCCCTATGCCAAATGCTGTTTGGGTTAACCCTTTAATTCTTTCCCCACCGCCCTGATTCCAAGCATCGCATCCCCATCTCAATAGGGGCCAATTTGGGTGGGTTACCCTATCTTCAAATTAGAATTAGATTACCATCCTAATCAAGTTTTGTGGTTGGGTTAATATCCTGTGAGAAGCATAAATTCTAAGGATATGCAACTTAATATTTGATGTAGAGCATGTTGGCAAGAAAAGAGGCCAATTTGTACTTTCACATGGAGTACACCTTACACATTAAGTAACCATGTTTATGTTCAATTTGACTTATAATTTTATTACATTATAGGTTGGTATACTAATTGTTGTTTTATTAGAGTTTAGTAGTAAGTGTATCTTAGTAATTCCAAATTTGCAAGTGTGAACTTTAACATGGTTCCATGGGTGTTATTTTGGGTCAAATGATTTTTTGGGTTATTATATGTAGTTTTAATAGTCAATTAGTAAAAGTTTCTTATTCTTTAGCAGTCCTAGTAGTACCTGCCCATCAAAAATTTATGTCAAAAAGGGTGACTTATTGCACATGGCTTTCACTAAAGCGGGGTCTGGGGAGAGTAAGATGTATGCAACCTTGCCATTCACATTTTAGGGAAGACTGCATCTGTGGTAATGACAAGCCTTATTGTTGAGTCTATCGATATTTACGTGGTGCTTCTATTTAACAGAGTTGAGTTATAAAAATTTGAAATTGTGTTTGTCTAATTTCCTTAGCCCTTGTGAGGTTAATTCGTTCTTTTTTTCAATGCAACGAAAGTTCTGTAGACGTGGAACCGTTCACTACCCTTCAAATTCTCTCATTAAGCTCAAAAAGCCTACCTAATCAAGCTAAAATCAAGCCCAATCCTTTCTTGTGCCGTTTGGCCTTGAACATTATATGAAGAATTTAAATATTTGTTGTTCATAGAATTTGATTTGACCACCTAATCTCTGAAATCCAGCGATTAACTTCTTTGGGAACCAACCAAGTCAATTCCAACCTTGAATTGAATCCCACCTGAAACTCAACCAAATATTTTTCTTTGCTCCAAACCCACCATAAAACATAGTTGTTGGCAGTTTTAGTTTTAAGTTTCCAGAAAGCTGTCTTACCATTTGTAATTGTTTATGTACTCTTTCTATTCAATGAAGATGAGTTGTGACGTTTTGAAATTGTGTTGGTGTAATTTTGCCAAACCCTTGCGATGGTTAGTCATTTCCCCCCTCTTTTCCCTCCTCGTTGTCTTTATGAATAGCAAAAGTACTATTCCCTTGTTACCATTCACAACCCTTGCACATTCCCATATTCAGCTCAAATCAAACTAAGCCCTTCAATTTAACTCCATAAACCTGACCTGTTTTCTGAAAATCTAGTAATCTGTCACTTCAGAATCGGAGTCAAATTTCACTTATTTTAGTCTAGAAACTTAGAATCTTTCTTCTGTCTTGATAAGCCGAAAATGTACTAGCATTTTTTTTTGATAATAAAATCAATTGTAGGCGGCCTTACGCTATATTTCCTAAAGCTATTGTGACTCAATATTCTTAATGCTAAAAAATTTCGAGTCTTTGTTTTCATTTTCCGTTGGTTAAAATTCTCTATTAGATGATATAGTTTGACCTTGGCACTCTTTGCAGATTTTATTCCTTTGAAACTTCACTTTAATATCTATTCACATTACGTGTGTTGCAGTCGTGAGTTTACTCATCGTGTGAAGTCTGTATCCATGGCTAAGTTCACTATCCAGGAAGTTGAGGCTCTTCAGAAAGGTGGTAATCAGGTATAAGTACTGTCAAAATTTTTCTCTGTGGGTGGCAGGGGTTTAATTTTTTCACTGATCAGACATTCGCTTTGCTTTGTTCAGCGTGCTAGGGAAACTTTTTTGACAGATTGGGACCCACAGAGGCAGAGACTGCCTGATAGCAGGTGCAAGATGCAGAATTTGTTGCACTGTTTCTATGCAATTTAGCATTGCTAAAATGGAAATTTTAATCTTGTATTTGTCTTGCAGCAATGCTGATAAAGTTCGGGAGTTTATAAAGAATGTTTATGTGGATAGGAGATACGTTGGGGGAAAAAACTCTGATAGGCCTCCAAGAGATATGCAGGCAATCTATTCCTAAACCAATATTACTTGTAAAAATGAAAAAGATGAATTCTTATCCAAATTGATAATTACATTTAGCATAGGATAGTTTGGAAATTTCTTTTTTTTCTTTTTGTTGAACTAACAACCTTTTTGATTGTCCTCGTCTTTCCAGTAAATTTTCTTGCTTCATTTTGTGGGCTAATCTGTGGTAATTTTAAATGAAATTAACAGAACCCTAGGCACCATGAAGATGAGACGAGACGAGCTAGTTCATATCACTCTTATTCTCAAAGTCCACCATATGACTATCAATATGAAGAACGTCGTTATGGAAAACCAGCCCCTGTACTTACTAGGAAGCCTGGATCAGATCGGGGCCTTTATGAAGGGAGAATCTCTAGTTTCTTCAGTCCTAGTCGTTTTAGTGACCAAACGAATGAGGACAGGTTTGCAAATGAGGGATCAAATCCCAGAGCTTCAGACTATTCCGTGTCTAGTGCCGGTGATCCATTCAAGTCAGATACCCAGTCACCAAATTTTCAAAGAGACATTATCAGTCCTCCTTATCAAACTTCAAGGGATATCTTAAATGAACACATTCAACGTCAAACAATGAGTACATTCTCAGAGTCAAACACCAAGACAGATGCAGACAGGGTTCACTGTCCACAGGTCTTGTTATTCTTACACCACCTTATTTTTTCAACCATTGTTGTCAAATTGTGATTTGTTTTGCTAATATAGTGGATTGTGAATGTATCAAATTTTGACTCATAAGATTCAATTTATTTAATATAATATATAATTTTTTATATGTATATATATAAAAAATACAGTGTTTAAAATGAAATAAATATCAATATAACTAAATTGTATTTTGTATTTACATATTAAAGCACGTATTTCGATAAAAAATAATTGATATATATATATTTTTTATTTCTTGATAGAGAGGGAAAAACAACGTCGTTTCATGCATTATGTAAACAAATAAAAAAAAAAAGAAAAAGAAAAAAGGAAAGAAAAAAGAAAAAAAAGAATTGAATTGCAGTGAATCATAGTGAATTGCAAATTGCATCACATGATATACTCAATTTTTGATTCAACAACACGGTTTGAATTATATTGGTTGAAACTCGTATCGAATTCTAACAACCATGTTTTCAACAATGATCTGTTGGTAGTCTTGTTTAAGGTGTATCTTGATACAAAGTTAAGCATTATGAATGCAATACAGTTGATGACTTCATCTTCTTTATCTGTGTAGTGTGCATGAATTCCACCAAATGACAGTCAGATATGTAGATTAGGGCAGATTTAGCAGGAGTTAGCATCTTTTGTATTTGATGCATTGGATTACTTCAAAACTGGCGTCACAATAATTTCCCGTAAAGTGCTTTTTTTTTTTTTTTTGTGTGTGTGTTAAACTTTTTTGTTTTCTCCCTCATTTGGCCACTTAGATTTTATTAAGCAAGTATATATCAGATTGTGTGGCCTGCAAACTATTTCATGGTTACATTAAAATTGAATCTACTTAAATTGGAAATATGAGTACCTAGAATGATAAATGGACTGCTATTATAATGGATGTTTATCCTAATTTTTCCTCTCAAGAGTTCTGTAGTACATTGTAAAATTGAATTTTATATCAGGTTTTTAAACAATGTTTTGGTTGTTACAATGCATATCTAAAGTATCAGATGGTTTCCCTCAATGTCTGTCTTGCAGATTCTTTTTTTTTTTTTTAAATAAAAAAAATAAATAAATAATCTCAACATTGCAAAGGGTCATCATTTCCAAGATTCCGATGAAGATTTGATTGTTGCCATGCAATTTTAAAACTCACATTTGTAAATGGTTTTTTGTCATGTGGACACCCTGTCGGAAACTTTATAGAAGAAATGAGTTGAATTCTTCTTCAACATGTGTCGGATATTATCACAATATAATCTGAAGGAATATCTCTCTACAGAGATCCTATTGTGTTGCGATGGTCCTTGTAAAATTTTGCTTTACCTGCCCTGATGAATTTGACTTGTGATTTGAGGATATTTCACTACTAATCTTTAATTCTTCCTGGGGACACTCTCACGTACAATTTATACTTCATCCCTACCTCGTGAGTGGAGCCACTATCTTACTTATCTGTGTTAACAGTCTTCTGAACTGTTTGCCTCTTTTTTTCTCCTTGTGAAAGATAGGTTTCTCCTGAGAGGGGTTCGGATGGCTCTTAGATACAATTATGCTTTCATATTTTAGGACATTTAGTGTGGATCCACTTCTCTTTAAATTGCCTAGCTGGAGGTTTTCGGCATAGCCTTATATAATGATGTGTCTGTGAGTAGTTGTTGGAGCTTCTATTTCCACACATGGTTTCTTACTAGTGCACACATCTTTTTTGTTCGGAAATCAAAAATTAACTCCCAAACAAAATTATTTGATTCAGTCAGCTGTATCTTTGGTTCAGAAGTTGATTTCTGAACATAACTATTTGCTTTGGAAATCAACTTCTGAACCAATGAGTTTTGTTCAAAAATCAACTTCTGAACCAAAACTTCAGAAATTGTGTGTGAACTGAGATAATGCGGTGTGTGGAAATAGAAGCTCCCACAGTTGTTATTGATGATTCAAATTCTAGAGTTGTGGGTCCATAAGAAAAAGTGCAAGTTTTTGACGTGGAATCACTGTAAGCATGATGAAAATATCATGTAATGTGAAGTTGAGGTTGTGAGCTGATGTTACTGAATAACTTTTATGAACTCTGGCATTCCCTTTGAAATCTTTCTTCTAATTATGATGGTCATTGTCAAGACTCTCCTCTGTCAGCTTATTTAGAAATCCTGATTCTTTTGAAGGTGTGTTTTTGCGCATTGGCAGGTGCTTGGAAAATGCTACTGAATATTGAATCATTGATAACCTCATTGCTGGAAATGGACAGACCAGCTGATGCTTGCTCACTTTGAGAATGTGCACAGCATTGTAAATCTTATTTGTTGCTATTGCTGTCTAAATTGTGCAGTACTTTTTTTTTAGCTGGTATTTGGTCACTTTGAAAAGATTAGAATAAGATGAGTTCTCTGGTATAGAATTAGAGATCTATTATGTGGATTCTAACGGATTCTTCAGTCATTAATTTAGTGCCTTTTCTGGTCTCTGCCACAGTTGATAGACATTGGCCTAAATGTCAATTTGGACATTGTGTACACATTTTACAACTTTTGCATGCATGCTTCTGCTTATTAACATGAATTTATGTCTAATTGAAAAATTGATAAAATGTGGTAGAAAAGATTACTAGATGATCAAAATGTTTATTGTTTTTGTCTGACATATGGGTGGAAGCAATTATACGAAAATAGTGTAAATTTTGTTAGCACTATATTTATCCCTGTGAATATGTTAAATTGTGGTGTATGCATAGGCTGCATAGTTATTATTTTATTGGTTATAAGGTAGTGTTTCTTTTGAGAATGTGCACAGCATTGTAAATCTTATTTGTTGCTATTGCTGTCTAAATTGTGCAGTACTTTTTTTTAGCTGGTATTTGGTCACTTTGAAAAGATTAGAATAAGATGAGTTCTCTGGTATAGAATTAGAGATCTATTATGTGGATTATAACGGATTCTTCAGTCATTAATTTAGTGCTTTTTTTGGTCTCTGCCACAGTTGATAGACATTGGCCTAAATGTCAATTTGGACATTGTGTACACATTTTACAACTTTTGCATGCATGCCTCTGGTTATTAACATGAATTTTTGTCTAATTGAAAAATTGATAAAATGTGGTAAAAAAGATTACTAGATGATCAAAATGTTTATTGTTTTTGTCTGACATATGGGTGGAAGCAATTATACGAAGATAGTGTAAATTTTGTTAGCACTATATTTATCCCTGTGAATATGTTAAATTGTGGTGTATGCATAGGCTGCATAGTTATTATTTTATTGGTTATAAGGTAGTGTTTCTTCATTTTGTTAATGGTGTTTCTTCACCTATCATCTGACATTTCTTTACCCTTTTATTTAGAGAACTGCATCTTCAGGCAGCTTTGGATCATTTGACAGCAATTCCATGTCTCTCAAGTCAGTTAATTCAGTTAGTTTAGTGGATATTGCCTCAGAATCTGAGCAATCTGGGACCAACCAGGATAAACAGTATGCTGATCCCCCTCTACAACAATCATCAGTGTCTGGAAATTTTGGTGGCTTGGACCTGTTTAATGCACCATTTGCGCCACAAATTGTTCCTTCAGCTTCGGCCATTGATTTGTTTCAGTTTCCAGCGACACAGTCAACTCCTCCAGTAGATTTGTTTCAGCCATCTTCTATTGCTTCAGTTCCAACTTTGCATGCTCATCAACCGTCCCAAACAAATCCCTCATCTTTAGATCTATTCGCTGATATGCCTCATCAGCAGCCAGCAGCAACCTTGGATAAAAAATCACCAGATGAGGTTGTCCTGAAGAATGAAGGATGGGCCACGTTTGATTTGCCTCAACACATGGCATCTACTCAGGGCATTGGAAATTCTACAACTGCAGTAGTACCTCCTACCGATGGAGGTTCTTTGGGAATGTTTGACCCACATTTACTGCCATTTACAAGCGTGCAGTGGCCAGCATTTGAAGATAGTAATGCTCATGTGCCTTCATCAATGCCCACTCTATGGCATGAGACCCCGGATAATGTTCAATCTGCCAATAATGCAACGAGAACTCAAGTAAGTGATCTGACGTGACAATGTAAATGTGCTCTTCTGAAACTTCTCAGAGGTGTTGAGATCTATTAGGAAATCTTTTGCTTGGTGCGTGGTCATTCTATTCAAGCTGAGTGATAGGCTCCAAATTTGACGGATAAACTCAAATGGCTTTGAAATGTAACTTTTCAATTTTTTTTTATTTATTTATTTTTTTTCTCTTTCAAGCAGGCATGGAATGCTTTTGAAGATCCCACTGGAGTCATACCTCACGGGAGCATTCAACAAAGTAGTGAAGAAATTGCTGTGCATGCACCTTCTACAACTGTGAATCAGTATTTGGGTGTAAGAGTCTCAGAGGTTACATGATTGCTCTAGCAATTCTGAGGAGATTTTTTCTTTCCTTGTGCTCATTCTTGGATTTTTAGCTTAGCAGGACTTTGGGGATGGACTTCAAAGAGCTGCCTTGGATAATGGACCTCTTAATCCCAATGTACCATTACATGTTAATGGATCATCATATGCTTCATCTTCAATTCCTTCTATGGTTTGTACTGTGTCCTTGCTTTAGGGTTATTGGTTGATTTGATCAGCTCTTTTCTTCCTATTTAACTTTGTTTGTTTGTTTGTTTGTTTTTTCTTTTTCTTTTTCCTTTTCCTTTTTTCTTGGATAAGTTCTTATTTCACTTTGTGAATTAATTTTTATTTATTTATTTATTTATTTTTCACAGGTAGGAGCACAGTCCCATGCAACAGATGGCAAATCTATCAACCCATTTGATCATCCCTATGATTCTGATTTTGAATCCAGCAGTATGGTATGTTTCGTATATGTGTTTTTGGTCTTCCTAAGTAAAACTTTGACATTTAGGAATATACAACAATGTGCCTAGCTAAAAGAAAAGAGAAATGTATCTGCAATAAACCCTCTTCTTTCTCGCACTCTCTCTTGTTTGAGTTGTCTCATCAATATAGCAAAATATTGCAAAATCGTAAAAATGTGCTTTTTAAAGATGCCTAGTTTACTCATTCTTAATTCAAAAAGAGATGGGCAAGATGAACACCCTTTTTGTAACTACTTGATTGTAATTTGTAAAAAAATTTAGTTTACAATCAGGGTTTTGAATGGAAAATGTCATGTGTCTAGCATGACACGGTAATTTTCTGACTAAAATGCTATTTATTTTTTGGGTTGTAAATGTCTAACTAAACAAGCAGTGAAGGCATTGCTTTAGTAAATGGAGAGCTGATGTAGATTGTCTCCAAGAAACTTAGATGTCTACTATTTTTTGAAGTTTTAACAAGTATTTGGGGAGGGCAATGGGTGAATTGGATTCATTTGGATGCAGTCTAAGAAGCATAGACAAACCCAGACATCAACACAGGACACAAAATTTTCGAAAGAAACTAAGTCATCTACTCTGTCTAACGAAGTTAAGATGACTTACTACTGCTCCTGGATTCACCTAATAACTTCACATATTGAAAAGTTAAGATGACTCATTACTGCTCCTATGATAATTGGATGCCGGGGAGACTGATGAATTGATGTGGGCATACTTTCTCTTGAATATCTAATGCCATAATATGATGTTTCTATAATCTTTCCATGGTACATGGCTAGTGTGTCTTGATGCACATTGTAGGTTTGTACTAATATCTTTGATCATATGCATCACTTGTTGAACAACCCTCTGGTTTTGTAAAGTGAAATTTAAGTTTAGTATATGGGAACAAAGTGTTTCCGACTTTATGTCACATGATTACCTAAAGGAACATTATTATCTTCAAGTACTGAAGGAGATAATAACGTCTACCTGTAGCATAGAAAGCACAAAATGCTATTTAGTTTTGGAAGTGCTATAACTTTTTAATTTTGTTCACTTACTAGCTGTGACTTTATTTTGTGAAGATATTTTCCCTTTCTATTTTATTTCAGCGATGATTCTGCTCCAGTAGGCTAGTTATATTAAAAATCAAATAATCTCAATTCTTGCAGTTTGCACAGCTTACAAAATTATCTTCTCTAGTTTTACATATAGAAAATATGCAAAAAAAATGTTCCTGTCTCTTGCTGAAGAGAAGTTTAATTGATCACTATTGTTGTAATATGTTTGAAATGAGTCTGACATTCTTTCTACTGGATGTTATCTATGTAAATTTAAAAAAATAAAAAACAAAAATTGAGTTTTCTTGGATCTGGGAAAAAAAATTGTGCACATGGATTTTCTTGTGGCAAGTACATAGCTTGTGGTATCTATTCTAATTTCATGTTGTGTTTCTATTTGCAGTTCTTGGACATGAGTTCTTTGCAAGCTGCCCTGCCAAGTGATCAAATTCCAAATACCTTCCTTGATGGTGTAACTCAGCCATGGTTTCCTCCGAATCCGGTTCCGTCTTATATTCCAGCTGCACAGCAAGGTCCATAGTTAACCCCTCCAAGAATATTATTCTCTGGTTAACCACTATTTGCATCCAGTCTGACTCTGGTATGATTTTGCAGGTGCCTTGGGATTCATGGGAGGACCAGCGCCAGGCACTCAAATGCCGTAAGTTGTTTTCTTGCTCTCATTGTTGCATGTAGATGATCTAAATCAAATGGATGTACATTAGACACAAACTGCTGGTGATTTTGTGCAATTTATCTTTTTCTTGCTCTGCAGCTGAAAATACTGTTCCATGTCTTTATTTCATAAGAATAAAACTGGAATGATTGTTCCCTTTTTCTTGTGAAATGGTATCAGTGTCACTTCTTTTTGTGTGGCACTCATCAATTTTTGGTAGGCCAGTGAGAGTAATTGTTGAAGGAGATGCTTCTTTGTGGATGTGCGTTTCCTAGGCCAAACCAATAAACCTTATTGTGGTTTGGTCTTCGTTTCATTGAGTAAATATTTTGGGAATATATAATATTTAGAATTATATAGATTTGTGAGTGTTGTATTTTCATTGCAATTTCCTGTTATTTGGGTGAATTCAGGTGTTTATTTTTAGTGGGAAGGTGATGATTTTCTTTGATGCAAAACTACCTCCTTTGTTTCATAAATTGCAATTCACGTGGTAAATGGCGGTCTGGTTATTCCAATTGTGTTGATCCTGTTCTTTCCAAGTTTCTCACATGCTCCAATTGTTTAGCAAATGCTACCTCTGCCCCATTTTTTTGTGGCATCGTATACCATGCACACAATTTAAGGAAAGCATCTTGAGTGATAGATAAAATGCCCTTTGTCTTATTTGCATGAACCTTTGGAAATTGGGATTGTGTGACATGCCTAGGGGGTAACCCGTGCGCGTTAAACAGTTCGGACCCTCAGTCTGTTTGATCTAGTTTCACGAGTGCAATATGAAATGTAGACGAGAGTTCACATTTGACAACTTTTAGAAAATTTATTTTTATTGCAAAAACATTTGCCGAAAATGGATTGCGTCATCAGATCTCAGAGTCGCCACCTAATATTTATTTTGGGAAAATTAGAAAACTCAGTACTCATGCCAAGGCCACTGTTCGTCGTAACTAAGGATGCTTGGCTCAGAACGTTAGGTATGAAGGGGGAAGGTAATTAATTGAGCACCCTTGCTCACACGATTAAAAGATTGGCTTTTAGTAACCATGATATGATTTTTTTATTTCCTTTATGTGTTCATATTCCGATTATTTAATAAATCTTAAAAAAATTACTATGTAAAGTATACATGTATAGATTATGTCACTCACTTTGGAACAACTTGATATCATGTAGTTTTGAAGATGTATAACCCAAATAAATTGAGTTTACAAATATGAAAAATCAACATCATTCCAAATTAAGCGACACAATCTCCACCCTTTGGCATTCATACAGTTATATCAAGTAAGCAAATAGCCACATGGTAGGATGCTAAACATAATAAGAAAATTATGTACAAGCGGGATGCTAAAACATAACAACTTACATATTTACCGACGTCCCGCGAACAGTTATAAAACAAAATTAGTAAAATATGCATGATCCTATATACAAAATCCTAAAGCAATACGTACACAAGAATGCTTCTAAAGATCCGGCTTCTAAAACATGGCATGTGAAACATTGCAAAACATGCGATAGCGCACAAAATCATATAATAATCAATTAAAGTACAAAGATGCAAATCTAGCTGGATCTAGGCATGAATCATGTATGTAAAAGCATGGATATGCATGGCATGCAAGATATACACATATGTACAGTTAGGGAAAGCGATTCAAGAATGTGATAGATAAGAAGTGGAGATGAGAAATTATTACAATATTTTAAATATTACAAATCCGAGGGAGATGATTAAATATTACAACATAATATAAAAATCCTCACAAATACTCAATATAAAATAAACAAAACAAAATAGCAGTTTCAAGCACCTCAAAGACTATCGGAGGTTGATCTTCTCAATGTCAGAAGGCTGTCCGGTTTTGTCTAGAAGTCGCGGGCACGGTCATGAAGGTCGTGGGCGCGATGGTGTATTTTTAGGTGGCTACCTGACTAACTAACGGGCCGGGTAGCCCAGTAGGCTCGGCCAAACTCTGTTTTCTTAGATTTCCACAACAAAAACAAAATTAAAAGCAATATATATTAGAGTCTCAATTCACTACTTTCAATTAAATTACAACAATATATAATGTAATAAGAAATCAAAGCAAAAGAGCAAAATAAGTAAGAAATGCAATAGGTTCAATATGACGTCCGATTGAACCCAATTCAATTTTATTATTTTGTGTCTCTTTTAGTCCAATTTTATTAGCCATTTTTATTACCTTTCAATTCTTTAATCATTTTGTCCAAAAGTAATAATTACATCCACTAATGAAGAGAAGTGCCAAACAAGAAGTTTGTTCTTGGCATGAGAGAGATATAATGCCCTAGTAATGAACCTCCGAAAAGATTAAATCATTAAGTATGGAAGGTCTCTTTCTCATGCTTAAAACAGAACTAAAAACAATATATATGGGACACTCAACTCACTACTTTCAATTTAGATTACAACAATATATAATATAACAAGAAATCAAAGCAAAAGAACAAAATAAGTAAGAAATGTAAGAAAATGAAATAAATTGAAAATTCACCTTTTCAATAAAGGATGAACTTCATGATTTCCAAACTTCCTTTTGATCACCCTCAAGTGTATGAATTATGTTTTCAATTCTCAATTTGAAAACTTGGAATTCTTGCTAGAATGATGGCTTGGAGGTGATTTATCTCTCTTGTTTTTGTTCACTTTTACCAACACCCACTCTTCCTATTGATCAAAGCTACTAAAATTCAAGTATTTTAGAATTTTTGGAGGAGTTTTGGGTGTAGAAAAGATGAAATTTCAGTTGTATGGAAGGTATGGGTGCATATGGAAGATAAAAGTATTTTTAGCTTAAAAACTCAACTTTTCTCTATTTTTTTTTCACTTTTTTCTCTAACTCAAATGTTCTTTTCTTAGTCTATCCTCTTGCTCCTCTCAATAATTTGATGTATACATATAGACTAAGCAAGTAGAGAAATGGTGGAAGACAATGTGGAAGACAAGATAGAGCATTAAGGAAGATAATGGAGTTAATAGGAGACAAAAGTGGAGTCTTATCTCCAATGGATCAATCACTAGGTAATGGAGGCTGAGTGTATATGCATTTGGTGATAAATATATCAGAAAATCGGTCAATAGGGTGTCTCAACCGAACCAAAACTAAAAAAAAGGGCCTGCTGTTGTCTCGGGCCGGGTCAACAAAATATGCTCTTAAGCTAGACTTCAAACGTGCATATCTCCCTTACTCGAACTCAGTTTTAGGTGATTCTTGAGTCTAAATTAAAGCCCCAGAGGTCTACTTTCCAATGGTGGTGGCCTCACATCTAAATTCCAAATGTACGAAAAGATATGCCTAAATATTTTGAAAAGAGGGTTTTAAGGTCTAAAATAGTTTAGCCAAAAATGTGTGAAGGTTGGGATTAAAGTTCAAATTCCATCTTTCTTCTGAGAATTCTGTGAGAAACACATTCTGATTGTCATCATCGGGTAATCAACAGAAAGCGCCCAAGTTATCTTCGGATTTTGACATTCACTCGCGTCATTTAATGACTTCGAGTGAATGTCAAAGAGGGGCAATTGACATTGCATTGTTGGAAATAAATGGAAGGGAGGTGAATTCTTTGAAAAATATTTAAAAATATCTTCTTTATAGGTTTGGAGTTGAAGGAAATAGGAGGGGATGGAAGAGAATTGGTTTAGGAAAATGATGAGCATCAAATTGTTAAGAAAGAAATGAGCAATCTTCACTAATTTAGGCATATGTCTTTGTACATTTAGAATTTAGATGTGAGGCCATCATCATTGGAAAATAGATTTTTGGGACTTCAATTTAAACTCAAGAATCATCTAAAATCGAGTCTGGGTAAGGGAGATATGCCCGTTTGAAGTCGGGCTTAAGAGCATATTTTGTTGATCCGACCCGAGACAGCTGCATACCCATTTTTTTTGGTTTTGGTTCGGTTGGGAGACCCCACTAACCGATTTTTTGATATATTTATCACCAAATACATATACACTCAGCCTTCATCATCTAGTGCTTGATTCATTGGAGATAAGGCTTCACTTTTATCTCCCATTAGCTCCATTAACTACATTATTTTCCTTTATGCTCTATCTTGTCTTCCACCAATTCTCTACTTGCTTAGCCTATATGTACATGTCAGATTGTTGAGAGGAGCAAGCGGATAGATTAAGAAGAGAACATTTGAGCTAGAGAAAAGAGTGAAAAAAGAGAGAAAAGTTGAGTTTTTAAGCTAAAAACACTCCTATCTTCCATATACACCCAATACCTTCCATACAAATTGAAATTCCATCTTTTTTACACCCAAAACTCCTCCAAAAATTTTGAAATACTTGAATTTTAGTAGCTTTGATCAAGAGGAAGAGTGGGTGTTGGTAAAAGTGAACAAAAACAAGAGAGATAAGTCACTTTTCACCGCATACACCTCCAAACCATCATTCTAGCAAGAATTCCAAGTTTTCAAATTGAGGATTGAAAACATAATTCATACACTTGAGGGTGATAAAAAAGAAGCTTGAAAATCATGAAGTTCATCCTTTCTTGAAAAGGTGAATTTTCAATTTATTTCATTTTCTTGCATTTCTTACTTATTTTGTTCTTTTATATGTTGTAATCTAATTGAAAGTGGTGAGTTGAGAGTCCTATATATATTGTTTTTAGTTTTGTTTTAAGCATGAGAAAGAGACCTTCCATGCTTAATGGTTTAATCTTTTCGGAGGTTTATTATCGGGATATTACATCTCTCTCATGTCAAGAACAAACTTCTTGTTTGACACTTCTCTTCATTAGTGGATGTAATTATCACTTTTGGACAAAATGATTAAAGAATGGAAAGATAATAGAAAGGGCTAATGAAATTGGACTAAAAGAGGCACAAAATAATAAAATTGAGTTGGGTTCAATCGGACGTCATATTGAGATTACAAAGACAACTTCGTCGCCCGGCTTTACCATTACTTGTCTCGTTTCATCTTCACTCCTTCAAAGCTCTTGAAGACTCTACCTCGGCCTTGGCAGAGCTTCCAAAAGAAATTATTTCCCGCTGGCCATCAAATGCAGGGTATGAGGAAACTCCAAAGCAAGCCACAGAAGTGCCCTGTTGTTTCAGCTCTTT